GGTGGCTCAGTTGGTTAAGCATCTGACTTTGGCTCAGGTCATGATCTCACAGTTTGTGGGTTTGAGCCCTGCGTCGGGCTCTGTGCTGACAGCTCGGAGCCTGGAGCCTGCTTCAGATTCTGTGTCTCCCTCTCTCTCTGCCCCTCCCCCGCTCATGCTGTGTCTCTCTCTCTGTCTCAAAAATAAATACAAACATTAAAAAAAAAAATGGAAAGCTTGGAGTTGTCTTTCAGATTTTGCATAGTTAGAGGCTGTTTACATTTTATTCTAAAAACTATTATTAGGATATTGTAATTTAAGGTAAAATTAAAATGAAAAAGATCTATTTGATAACACATTTGAGTTAATACTTTCTTCTTTGCTGCTGCATTTTATGATAGCTTTATTATAAATGATAAGTGGATTATTTCATGTTTTAAACTATTGGCAATGTACTTGATAGCTTTAGTTTTGTGTCATAAAACCAGAAATCCTGACTCCTGGGCTTAGCATCTAATGAAATGTTTAATACAGAATAAAATTACCATTTTTGCATTATGCCATAGGAATTAGAGCTAAAGATTTGATTCCATGGCTGTATTGTGTGCCTTTTTTTAATGTGGTAGATACTGTTTTATTAGACCACCAGATCCCATGAAGGATGCAGTCACAACCTGTTAAAAAAAAAAATCAGAATTCTTTTAGCACCATCCATTTCATACCCATCCATCTACCCATCCATTCCTTCCCTTCCTTCCTTCCTTCTCTCTCTCCGTTCCCTCTGTCTCTGTACTTACTGGTCCAGATACAGGGAAAGGATCCTTTTTCATGCACCTGCACTCATAATGAACAATTTCTGTGCTCCTGAGAGCTTTAGGAATTTGTGGCTGCTGATTGTCATGACATGACTCCTTTAGCCTTCTGGTAGAGTGGTATGAGGAGGACTATCTCCATATTTTCCTCCGTCTCTGAAGTTACCTTCTTATCCTTGCCATTTATATTAGCAGAACTAAAAAGATGGGTAAGTAGTTTCCTCGAAATGTAAAGCTCAGACCCACATCAAAGAAGTTTCTCAGACATGAAAGTAGACACAGCAGCAGTGAAGTCTGCAGATAGCTCTAAAACAGGTGGCCAGGTGTCGGCGTGTCACAGACGAAGAGGAGAGCTGAGTACCGCTTATCTCAGCTTCATTTTTACCAAAATGTTTTTATTTGTCTTTGACCCTTAATGCAGCTTACAAGAAATTATGCCCAGGAAATAATCAGAAGAGTAACAACATATAACATATCCATCTCTGTTACTTTAAGCACTGAAAAATTAGGAACAGCCTTGATGTGTTTCTGTATTCTTCTCTGTTTTATTCCCCCCCTCCCACAAAGTTTCTACAATGGCCTTGTTAGTGTGATGGGAAAATACTTGGATATATTTTCTTAGCTGCCTTTTAAGTGAATATTGGCATTAAACATTAACAAAGATGGTTTCATTGGCTACATAATGCCTACCAGGAGTGATTTTATTCTCTGTTCAAGTCTTTGGCTCTCCAGTTCTGTCGCTGAATATGGTCATCAACCCTCTTGGTCCTCAGTGCCACTGTGGGGTGGGGTAGGAAGGGTGAGGGCAGCTGCTGATACTTGAAGAAGTGAGGGAGGTGGCAGGGAACAGAGAATGAAGAGTCCAGGAAGGAAAAGGAAAGTGAAGAGGGAGGATGGATATGAGGTGGGACCCATCAAAATCCCCAGTCCTTTCAAGTGACCATGAAACTTTTTTTTTAAACTTGTTTTTGATCAATATATATTTTCAAGTATCAACTTTATTCCACCAATTCCTTTTTACTCAGTGTTTCTGGGTTACTGTCCTCTCTTTTCTTTATTACTGTTTTGAGTTCTCCATATTTATATTTCATCTTTCTCTTAACATTTGTCGTTCACCATTTCCTTTTTAAAATCTTATTTCCCTACAAAGAAATTAAATTATTTAAATGTCCCTTGCAGCCAAGATTTAATTTTCCTTCTTAGGTATCTTGAAATTCTGCCCTTTTGTTATTTTTGCCTAGTAGTGACTTTTTCCATCAGCAGGAAGGAAAGCAGTCAATAAAAATCAATCGCTGACTCAATGGCTATATGGAGGGTTGACCATAATGCATATTGGAAATGCCTTTAAACCTTTTCCTGAATGGAAGGTGCCATGGCTTGTGTTTTATGGCCTTCTAATGGTGGACGGTAATCTCATTTCACATTTTCCCAAAGTGAAAACAGTACATTAGAGCAGCATAACAAGCACTGCAGATCAATATGGAGGCAGAGCTTTGCCCTCACAGATTAATCCAGGAAAAATGTACCAGAGGCTCCTCCAGGAAGTGGGAGACAATTATGCTGATTTCCACCCCTCTTTCCCCCTTTCTACTGTCTAATCATCAATAAACGTTGAAATGTATATACAAAAAGGATTTCAGAAGGGGTGTGTGTGTGTGTGTGTGTGTGTGTGTGTGTGTGTGTGTGTATTTGTATACACGCATGCATGTGCACGCGCACGCATCCACACAGGCCTACTGGACTCCCAGACAGGAAATCACAGGCCCTGGAAGTGAACAGTATTGATTTGTGGTGATAAAAGTATGTTTTGACACATTTCAAATCATAAATAACTCATGGACATTAACTTGCATGACTAATAGCTCAGTTCAGTAAACGTTTATATACAACTTAAATTACCTCTTTCTAAGGAGTTCATAGTATTGAATGAATTATTCCATCGCCAAGAGTTTTTTAAAAGAAAAAAAAAACACACACTATCTTCTTTATGATGTGCAGTATGTGGAAGCTCATTCTTTACAATCTTTTCCTGTATGTTAATAAGGAAGAGCTGAATATATGATTAGGATTGTTCTAGGCTTCTTTCCCTATCCTGCTTCCCCTGCTTTTAAATCTAAGATATATTAGAAGAATGATGGTCCGCAACACTAAGACAGACTATAAGCCTGTTTTCCCTTGAACTGTTATAGGCATTAGTCATATATTTGCTAGGTTCAGCTGACCTAGTGCTTGATTATATTTTATTCAGTATTTATCCAGATGTGTCTTGCTATAATCAGTCAGTTCATGGTATCTTCTCTTCAAAGCACATCTTTTTAGATGCTGATGTTCATGGTAGGGGATTAGGGAAATCCACGTCCAAAAAAAATTCTCATAGACATGTGAACTTTGAAATCTTAAAGAGAATGGAAACTCCAGGGATTGGATTTAAATTCTGTTCTTAGGTATTTGGCAGAGTAGGAAGGTAATGAATGAAAAAGTAAAAGCAATGTTATGTAAAATTTGTGGGATTATTTTTTTCCTGTGTGTCTACTTTCTTTAGAAGGTAGTAAGAAGTAAATTCCCTCAGGGACCAGTAACGTGGTTTGCATGTCAGTTTTCTGTTCTAGCAAAAATCTGTGTTAGCTTAGTGTCTTGGATAAAAGTAATGAGACAAATCGTCACCCAGGGGTTTCCTTATTGATGAAAAATATTCCCCCTCTATTCTGTAGGGGTTTTTTTTAGAACCCATTTAATTTAAAATAATACTATTTCAAGATTACTAGAGAAATAAAAAATTTAAATTTCAAAAAAAGAACTGATATGAAAGACTGGAAGCCTTTTGTACTAAACAAAACTAATTTGAAAAAATATAAATTCCTAGATTAAAAGTGATAATATTATGTATTTTTTCTGCGTGTATTTAGCCCTTATAATTCAAGTTCCTCTATAATCTTAACAAGAGTATTTTATTTTCATTTGTATAATTCATTCAGTTTATTTTGTTATCGTTTTTCAAGTATATATTTTAAGATTTTTGGAGGCATTTGTGTTTAGTACTGCATATTCACTGAATGCAAAGATTTGTAAGTATAATTAGTAAAATTTTAGCCCAGAATTTAAAAATGTTTTTTTTCTCTACCCATTTATATTCTAAGCAATTTATCGCATGACTGCTAAAAGAGGTATCCATATCAATAGCTGAGGTCACAAAGAAAATAAGACAGTCCTTACTTCTTGGGATTTGCCTCCTAGTAGATGTAGGCTAGTAAATTACACCAGGCTACGGTGTCATCGGTGTTAGTGGAAGGTGAAAGAAGCAGTAGAAGCAGCCAGTATGGGGTCAGTGGGGTCACCAAAAAGGGAGTGGTAGATTCCACCCTGAACAGAGTTAGTGAAGCTGTCTAGAGAAGGTTACACTTCAATACTTAGCTCAACTATTGAAAGATGAGTAAGTATTTTCCAGATATATAGGGATGGGTGGGACTTTGGGAACAGAGCATGTCCAAAATCAAGAGGAGCATGAGCAAAGACGTGAAGGGGCGTGTCTGGATCAAACCCTGAAAGTGGCTTGGTCAGGCTGTGGCAGTCTGAGGATTGAAGGCTAAACGGCAGGCAGAAACCTGACCCAGAAGGACTTGCCTGTTGACCTTGCATTTTATTCAGAAAGCAGGAGGGAGAAATATGGTCTCAGATTTATATATTAGAAAGAACCTTCTGGAAGGCAGTAGTAGAGGGGCAAAAGCTAAGAGACAGACTAGCTTGAATCCAGGATATGAGTGATTACAGATTAATGTGATGACAGTGAGTACAGAGAAAGAGGACTAGACTGCTGGGTCTCGAACTGTGAGACTGACCAGATATGGGCATGGAAGAGAGAAGTCAGGGAGGGCTCTCAGGTTTCTGATTCGGCCGACTGGGCTGAAGAGTATCGGTGCCATCCACCTGGTTTAGGTGTGGGTTTGGGTGGGAATGTTACAACGTCCAGAGAGGCTCGTGGTGGTACCAGTTACTGCAGCTCATTTCATAGAAGTCATTTACGTTACATGTATTTTTATCATGGGAACTATTTTGGTATCTTTTTTTAAGGGCTGAAGAAAATTACTTCTCAAACTTCGCTTCTACATTTGCAACATTTACATCTTATTGAATGTTTTATCCACTCTTTAGCCTTGATCTTTATTCTGATTGAAGAGCATTTGTCTCACGGGTTCCGGTTTTTGTTTTCAGGCGGTATGAGTTTCATCCTGTCTGTGCTGATCTGCAAGCCAAAATTCTTCAGTGTTACCGCCAGAACACCCAGCAGACCCTCAGCTGCTCTGATCTGGCCAACCAGTACATGCGCTGTGTCAATCAGGCCAAACAGGTGGGTGTGCAGGCCAAGCTTACTGGGGCACCAGAAGGAAGCAAGCCCAGCATCGTGGGGCAGTGGTAAGGACTGAGTGGGCTAATGTGTGTGGAAAAGCTTTATAAACCAAACTCGTCCTCATCATCAAGATTTGCTCTAACACGTCCATTACGTGCTAATTAACCTCCATCCAGGTGGTTGTGGGAAGAGTCCATATTCTCCTTATATTTAACTCATTTATTTGCAGGAAAGAAAAAGATTCTTACTAAAATAATACTTTCTCCAGTTGCTTTGAACTTTTGTCATCCACTGTATGGTAATTGTGTCCACAAGGTCATTGCCCCATATTTCTGGGCCACTACTCAAAGACAACAAGGAGGAAAGATACAAGTTAAAGGGTCTGTAAGCAGCAAGTACTCATGCAGAGAAACATGAAACATGAAGGATCGACAAAAAAACCTAAAAACAGAAAGCCATCTTTCAAGCCCTGTTCAGTCTTCTACCCATTGGTAGAGCCCGCTGGATTGAGCAGGGAAAGGGAGGCCAGAGATAGGATTTAGGCAACACTTTCCATCTCTTTTATGTTCCTGCAGTCATTCTCTTCTCTTGAGCCCTCATTCCAGAATAATACGATGTCCACAGGACATGTGTTTTCTCTAATTCATGTGCTTTACAGAGCTAATGATAAACACTGAAGCAAATGATCATTTCTGGCAGGTCACATAATTGCCCATCATTTAACTGGTATAATAGTTGGATATAGGTTGTTCTGACAGATAGAAATTGTTGGAAACCGTGATTCTTTGTGCTGACAAACTCCCTAGAGTTGACCTTCTGACCCAACTAAATCTAGTGTTTGAGTTACACAGCATGCCTTTCTCCAGTCTAATTTGCTGTAGTTATAATAATGCCACTTACTGTATATTTCTAACACTATAAATATCTGATATTTACGGGAGGGTTAGTATTATCTGGGTAGCTAGAAAATAACATCAACACTAGTGGAAGAAAATACAATCAAGACTTATTAAAAGCCTCCGTTTTCTTTAAAAGCCTAGTGGCTTGAGGCTTTTGCTGTTTCTTGCTTGAAGCACCACCCGTGTGGCTCCTAGTAGCATTGACAGCGATTCTTTTCTTTAAAGGTCTTTGGTAGAAGCAACGTCGCTAATGTTATGTTAGTACATTTCATTTGTCAAAAACAGCTTCCTGATATGCTCTTAACAAGCCCCAATCTTCACTACCAATACTAACTGAAGCACCTGGGACCTGCAAGCTTGACTCGTGGATTTTTCTAACTTGATATTAGTGCCATATCGAGGTGGGGGTGGTGGTCAGTGCAAAGAATGGCTGTGACAAAGTGTATGTCTCTACCCCGGCATCCAACAAGCATGCCTGTGTGCGCAGTGTGATTTGTAACATTACTGAAGTGGCGACTGAAAGGGTGTATGCAGTTGCCACTCCATCATGCCCGTCTGCACCTGGCCCCATGCCGTCAATGGCATATATTTATAGAATAAAACACTTTGTGAAAACGTCACATATGCCACACAGTACAGTAGGGCGTTCACACTGGGCAGATCTGGGTGTGTATACAAGCTTTGTCTTTTACTAACCCTGTGACCTTGGGCATTGATTTTTCTCATCTGCGAACTGGGGTGATGTTATCCCCAGTGTTGTGAGGATTAGGTTTATATGAAGTATCCAGTAAATCTTATTTTTTCCTTTCCTCAGTTGTATTATTGCACGTTGAAACCACTGAACAGATCATCTCAAAGCACCAACTTATTACTAGTGATTCCAAGAGACCCCCCTCCCCCAATCTGCAATATAATTTAATATCCTTTTCAGCAGGTGTGTTTTGAGGTACTTGTTGTTTTCACAGCTCTTATATTCAAATATTAGAGAGTGTATAGCAGGTAATAATAATGAAAAATAAAAATCTAATATAAAGATAGCTGTTCACATGACATTTTTATCCTAAAATGGGCAACACTGTAATGGGCAAGAAACAAGCAGCGATGATACCTTGTATTTCTGTAGGACTTTAGGTTTCAAGGTGATTTCACATCTATTCTCTTCCTTCTTTTTATGACAACCGGAGATGTAAATAGAGATGCTTTTATTTTCACTGTTTTACAGTTGAAAGAATCAAAACCCAGGGAAGTTGTGACCATAAATGTAACAACTAGACCAAGATATGCCTTGCCATAAAAACAAAAAGTTTTAAAATGGCGTTTGGTTTTTGAGTTGGGTGTGAGAAAGGACCTCCATTATCCACTAATACAGAAATAAGGCAGTGAGAGAAAATGTGAACGATAATCACGAAGGGAAGAGAAGAAACAGGAATAACAAATTAAGTAGTAATAGAGACTTAAGGTAACAAATAAGGTGGGATTATAAAGGCCATGAGCAAAGGTATAGCTCAGCACCGCCCTATCTTTAGAGCATGCTCAAATGGCCACGGGGCATTAATAATCAGTATTTCATGAGCACTTTTCCTCTAATACTACCTTTCCCTTTCTCTCAATGTGAAATTAGTCTAACCTTGTGACCCCCACTCTGCCCATTGGTAGAAGGGGCTTCAGCAGTATGGGGTCCTAAGTGTCAATTGTAGCAGATCCTGACTCGTTACCTCCCCTTCTTATGTTCCCTTGTTAAATCCAAAGAACAGGCTAGGCGTGCTAATGTGGAAAATGGTCAACATGACAGCAACCCATTAGGTTGTGCTGTCCATCTCCGGCGCAGTGCAAGACTTTTCCCCTTGGAATAATTCCAGTAGCGAAATCCACTCCATTTTTAAATGACTCATAAGATTGGGCTTTCACTGGTTCCCTTGAGACATTGTTCTATAGACTAATAGATTTCACTGATTGGAAAATTTCCGGATATTCCTTGGCCTTACTTTTCCTTTCTCCAGCCACTTATTCACATCAGTCTTTCTTCAGCTATTCTTAAACAATTCCTCATGGGTTCATATGAGACATTTAGATTCTTATTTCCAGTATATTAAGTTACATGTTCTTCATAAGGGTAGAGAGATAATAAATTGCTATAATTATTATTTCTAAGACTTAAAAGCTACGGGCCAGCTATATGAGGTATATCTTTTAAAAATGTAGGAGGACATTGATTGATAGAGTATTGTATCTTTTATTTCTCATACCTGCTCAGCTTCAGAGCTTTCTATAAACTCTCCAAGATTGTATGACCTGATCTTACCATTAAAACCTGATTCCTATTCAATCTTGGTTCACCTACCTTACAGGAGACTACAGAAGATGGGAGAGAGATGGGGAGCCAGTGATGCTTGCCACTAGTGGACCAAAATGGACCCAAGTTCTCTTTGTCAAAAGGCAAGGAAGGGTATAGAGAGGGCCCCTCTCAGATCTGCATTGCTGTGTTCCTTGGGATCCCCCACCACCTTGCTGTTTTCTTGCAACATCTGGCTGCTTGGGGGATAGCATTCTTAAGGGGCAATTCAGAGCATTCCAAGTGTTTTCCCACCCCTGCTGCTGACAGAATGGTACAGAAGCTGGCTGGCCTCAGGGTGAACATTCTGTATTCACTGGAAGGCAGGGTTTATGGGAAAGACTAGCTAATCTAGTAGCTAAGTAGCTGATCTAGTCATGGTGACCTGGGTTTCAGTTTCTTCTTTGGTAAATTGTGGGTTTGAACCAGGTGACCCATGAGGACCTTCTAGCTGTGATACGGTGGCACTAATTCTACTTCCCTGCATGAGAACAAGAGGCCACGTGCCCAGGAGCACACGTTTATGAGCACATTTCAGTCAAGAGACCTGTTGTTCGGTCTAGGCAGCACCGCTGCTTTGGGGACCTCCAGCACTTGTGCCTCTGCCTCTTAGATTTTTTTGTCAGCCTTAAACTTTCACTCCAGAAGAGCAGCTGCCCTTCTCATTGGCCTGCCTGTTGCCTGGCCTCCCACAGCCGTATACCCTTTCCTTGAAGCTCATACTCCTGACAGCCCCAGGGAAGCCAGGGTGGCAGAATGAACTAGGAGGGGGTAAAAACAGTTTCTCTAAGGCAGTGTACTGAAAAACAGCTATCTCAGCACTGCCTGGCAGAACGTAGCCTTCCAGATAATAAACTCCATTAGAAAATGCAGGCTCTCTCCCTCTAGCCGGCCTAGGCTCCCATGTGCAATGGCTTTAACCTTGTCCACCATGGATCATGGGTGGTAAAGGGAGTGTGGAGACAGAGCCAGGAAGCCAGGTCAGAAGAGCCGAGGAAGGACGGGGACTGAGAGCAAGGGCTGGACCCAGGAGATGCCAAGGGACAGAGGTCAGTGTGGAGCCTGGAGTCAGATGATGGAGGCCAGTCAGAGGGTAAACCATAGCAGAAGTGTAAATCAATAAGTGGGCAGTGGGTCAATAGCCAAGTAAGCAACTTAGTTGAAGGAAGGATCAAAATGAGGACATCTTGTAAGTGAGGCGATCCCCACCTGAAGCCAGTGCTTCCTTCTGGCATCATTGGGAACGTCAGAGAGCCACCCAGCTGTAGGGGGGGAGCGTGAGGTCAAGACCCTGATAAATGAGGCTGGGTCTTAATATGAAGTTACTTAAGCCCAATGCTAATGCACCCAGTTCTTCATTTCTAAAATACAAATGACGCCTCCTATCCATGGTTAGCCTCCAAAATTAAAAACTTAAAGATCGGTGCATATGATGGAATTTTTCATGGCAGGAAGCATCAGCCTTCTTTTACTAATTTTTCTTTCTTTCTTTCTTCCTTTTTTTTTTTTCTTTTTACATAATTTTTTTTAACATTTATTCATTTTGAAAGGCAGAGAGAGACAGTGCGGACGGGGTGGGGGGGGGGGGCAGAAACAGGGAGACACAGAAACAGAAGCAGGCTCCAGACTCCAAGCTGTCAGTACAGAGCCCGGCACAGGGCTCGAACTCACAGACCACGAGATCACGACCTGAGCTGAAGTCGGCCACTTAACCGACTGAGCCACCCAGGCGCCCCTTTTTTTTACATAATTTGTAAGTTTATTTATTT